ATCAAAAATATTTATGCATTTACGTTTATATACATATCTCAGCTTCTACCGATTCAAATTAAATGAAATTTTAATATATTATAGATTGAGATTGTATTAAGATTATATAAAAATTGAACTAATTCTGATCAGTGCATCTTGAGATATACGATGTCAAACTTAGTGTTCAGAAACTTTTGGCTACCCTCTGTATTTCAAGAAACTAAAGGTTCACAAAATATACAATTGTATGAAGACTATTAAAACATTCTTACAAGAAAGTACTTTTTAATAATTGTCAATTAAAATGTATACTATATAGTATAAACAATATGATAAATAGTTTATCTGATAATATAAACTTTACAATAAAAAATATCTAAAATTATAACACGTTATGGTCATATGTAACCATATGACAATGCTAAGTAAGTAGTTGGTTTTTCCTTGTATTTCTTAAATTCTTAATAAATGTTCCATTTTCTTCATTAATTAGTTACTTAAAAAAAAATTAAATTTATAAAAAAAACATTTGAAAAACAGACAATTGAACCTTCTTTCCAAAAGATATCATAGTTAATAAAAAAAAAGAAATTGTAAGTGAAAAGACAATTTATGCTTTCCTTCTTCATTTACAAAAGAATAGATTTACTTAGAAAATATGCCAATATCATAAAAAAGCTGAAAAAAAAATAATCTATAAAATTAAAAAAAATCCGCAGAAAAAACACAAAAAAGTTAATATCCTAACAGATTTTATTATTTACTCTTTGATCTCTATCAACAAGAAGGATTGGATTGAATTGACAAACAAAACTCGTTTCATCATATTATTGCCTCCAAAGATTAATTCAATTTTTTGATATAGATGAAGATGTTGAGGACCTTGTTGCGGAAATTGAAATGGATGATGATATTGACTTTATTTTAATGCTACAGATGGTGTTGGTCACTCATTGAAGATGATAAAGATTATAAGAAAATACCCCAAAGGCTCTAATTAAATATTTTAAAAATGTATTTTATATCATAAAATTTAAAAGTATAAATCTATATACAGTATCTCCCAATCTATAGATACACAATTTCTAATAAAAAATTATCCATTTTATTTTTTCCATGAAGCTGTTTTTTCAGGAGTTTATAACATGGAAGTTTTGTCTTTTTACATGATCATACTTTGAAATTTGCTTCTCCGAATGACAGTATCTAATAGATTACCTTTTTCATTTCTTGAAAATAAGAAAACCAAAGCTTTATTTTATTTTATTTCACTAGCATTGAAATTACCAGGGCGACGTGCTATGAGTGATCATATTTTACCACATTCAACCAAATTGTTAATACAAAATATTACCAAAATGGCACAAGAGAATAATATTGGTCTTACCGCATCATTTAATAGATAGACTAATGTCAATCAAGAACATTGTATTAATTACATCACAGGGTGAAACTCTTATTTGAGAAGTTCGAGATATTAGCGATAAGCGTTCCTGTACTGAAGATGTTATCAATCATATTAAAACAATTATGAATAATGCAGAAAATAATATTATTAAGCTTAATTGTTTGTATCAGATCCAGCTGGCGAATATGTTGCTGTCTGGTAAGCTAATTAATTTTTTAATAATTTATTTAAATTATAAATTAATTAAATTTTTTATAAATAAAAGGAGAATTATACATGTTGAATATCCAAACAAAGTTTTCTTACCATGCATAGCATATCAAATGAATTGGTGGTTAGTGAAATTTTTAAAGAGTCAAATACATATCAGCAAACTTCTACTAAAGCTATCAAATAGTTATTTTTATTTTTCAGCATACTTTACAGGTCAACTTAGAAATGAACAAAAAGTATTATATAAAAAAACTATAGCTTTAACTTCACCTGGAGAAACCTATTGGAATAGTTTTTATCTTTGCTTTCATAATGTTTTTTTTTATTTATTCTTAATAATTTAATTTAAAAATTTTAAATTAATAAAAATTTAATAATGATAATTATTTTTATATTAGACTTTAATTACTAAGTTTTCATTAGAATATATTGGTACTTTCAGTACATCACAAAGTAGTTATATATGATAAAAAACAAGTTCAACATGTAAATAACTCCTTCTTTCACCTGAAATTATTGCTATTGTTAATAATTCACTTTTTTGAAATCATTTATATGAACTTCAAAACTTAATTTTACCTTTATATGCAACTTTAAATAGATTACAAAAAAATATTACTTATCTTATGAAATTATGCTTATTAAAGTTTTTTCTGAACATTGAATTATTTGGTAATCAAATAATAATTAGACTTGAATCACATTGAAAATAATGGGAGCAATCACTTTACTTTTAACATTAGTTTTATATCCTAAATATTATATTTCTAAATTTAATAAAAATGTAACAAATCTTACTTATACTTATTTTAATCAATAGATTAACTATTATGTTAATGTTTGATTTAATAAATTTCCAAAAAAAAATCTTATGTGAATATCTTCAATATCAATGAGAAATTTATCCTTTTAATCCTTTTAATATGATTACATTTGCTCAGCTTGATTATAATATAATTGATTATTGGGATTCTACAAAAAATCAACCTCCTGATTATCTTATTTTCATTTATTTAGAATATATATTAATTCAGCTTCAGTACAAAGACTTTAGTCTAATATGTGATTTTTACATTCTAAATGAAAAAATCGTCTTTATTTAAGTTTTTTATTTTATATTTAAATTTAATTCTCGAATTTAATATTATTATTTTATTAATATTTATATTATAAATATTTTATATTTAAAAGTATTAAAAGGTTTTAGGAATGTGCTAATTAAGAAGTGATATATTATATAAAAAAACAAGTAGTGTCAAAATACTGAAAATAAATATTATTAAAAATATAGCAATTAATACCAATTTAACCCTATAATTTAGCAAACTGAAGAGGAAAATGTTAGAGAAGATGAAAATACTGAACAAGAAATAATAAATAATATAGTATTTAGTGATAATGAAAAAGTAAATGAGTCCAATTTATTAGATAATAATAAATCTGATGCTATTAATTTTACAGAACAATGGACAAATATAATGCAAAATTAGATGGATATGGTTAATGAAATTGTAGATCCTTTAGAATTTCTAGCTGTAGATCGTACAATTCATCCTGCTTTTCTAAATGAATCTTAGTAAAATATTCAATAATAGTTTAATAGTACCAGTTTTTATAAATGAATTAACTAGTTTAGATCAAAATTAAGATTTATATAGGATAGCTAAAAGTTTGATTTTACATATTATATGTAGCTTAATACAATATTAAATATTCAAATAAAATTAAAGATCTTCAAAATGATTGGTTTAAGTAAATGACCTACTTTTAGTCATTTGGATCACTTGCCAACACTGCTTCACAATCCATGGCACCCCCAGTCAGTCTTGGGTCCTTTTGTCATCCTTTCCACTATTTTGTGGTAATCGCCAAGTAACCATAACACATTGCCCATAGAATCCAAATCAAACACACGACCGAAACAGTCCATAAAAAGAAGTCCACAGTAGCGTTCCCCGATGACAATGATATGGTCAAAACCATAATCTCCAACATCCTCAATATAACCGTCAAGATCTTCTTTAATATCATCATCTTGATCTTGATTTTGGAGACCATGGCCAAGTGAATTTGCAACAAGTTTGCGGTTGGATTTTGATGATCGTGTCAACTACCATGAGTGGACTTCTGCAACGCCCATGTGTTTCATTGATTTCATCACCAACTGACATCTGTCGCATAGAAGGATTGATTTCATTTTTCTGTACTTCAAACTTACTGTCCGGGAGTACAATTTGACATGGCGTTTTAGGAATTTTTTTTTGTCCATGTAGAGCCCTCCAGGTTATCGATGGCCCCAAAGTTGTTTCAAATCCGTGAATGATTCCTGAACATTCAAACTGCATCATAGGATTGCTGGTATGTATTCACTCTATTAACTTGTTGTTGATCTGTGTTTGTTCCGTTGGGTATCCACTCCGAATCGATGCCCCGAACATGAATCGCACCATCTTCCTTTTTTTCACTGAAATCGTTAAATTCGCCGTTGATGGGCGGCTTAACCTGTTCAACTCCATCATCATGATTTTGTCGACCAAAATATTCAACATTCTGGCAAAGTATCTTTTCTTGTTCCGATGACTCATCTCCTTGAAGGAGCCTATCTTCATGATGGAGTGTGTCATTAGTGTTGGACGACAAAAAGGCGGGATTACCATAATTCCCGTGGGACCGAACGGCGTTACAATTCTCTGAGTTCTACATTTGCTAAATACATTTATATAATTTTAGTGGTTCAAGAATCAGTGATTTCGGAATATGCCTTTACACCATTTTGATCTCATCACAAAAAATTTGAATAATTCTTCGTCCTCAAATGGAATTGCATACGCGTAATATCGAATGCGTTGAGGCCGGAAATACGTTTATTCCTGGTAGATCAGATTTATTCATCATGATAGAATGATAGACGAGTATACGACATATTAATATGGCAGAACTTTCGGGTTATAAGGCATTAATATGCTATGGCTAACAAATCATTTTCTTGGGTTTATTAATAGATCTAAAAATAGACGCATTGCAGTTAAAATCCATGAATAAAAGTTCGCTTGTACAATAATTGAGTTTCGGGAAAAGTTAGCCGTGATGGCATAAAAATTTTTGTAGATAAGTTTGCCAACAAAAATCACGCGTTCATTCGGTTTATTAATGTTTGCTCTTCCTCCGGTATATTTTTTTTTCGAAGTATGATTAAACCATTATTCCGATTTCTTAACAAAAAAATTATTTATGTGTATGTGATTGCACATTTGTTCTATGTATTAGTTTATATATAAATAAATTCTGGGATCAAGAACTAATAGAAGTCTTTTCTCCGTTTAACCGAAGAGAAGCTTATTTATCAATATAGTTTTAGATCGGGAAGGTCATATCAAAAAACGATATATTTAGCTTATGCTCTAGTACTTGGCAAAGGCGCTTAGCTATGTTACTATGTTACGAGAAGCAGGATTTCAGGGGAGGAATAAAGCAAGAATGCCTGCCGAGCCCTAACCCATATGATGGCAGTGCATTCCCATCCATAAACCGACTTCATCTAATGTACTAATATAACATCCTATCTCTTAATATTCCTTTCGTAAAAACCTTGAACTGTTATTATTCTTAATTTTCCCCAAGCACACGAATTTCCATTGCTATGTGGAAACGAATCCCTCCAAGTTTAATTTTTTTTTCGGTCTACAATCGAATTGGGGTACAGGAAAGACTTTCACGTGATTGGCCGATGGGTTAGTAAAGTAAAAAATAATTTAACTGTAAATAATCAAAATCTCAAGGTACTTTCCTTAAAAGCGAAAAATACCTACATGTGTTATTACTATTTGTTGGAGGCAGTCAATGCAATGGAGAAAGGTAACTGAAAATGTTTTTAGCAAAGGTCAAGCTTAGTTATATTTAATTAGTAGACACTATTTATATGAACTGTTTTAACGGAATTGTGAAAATATTTCATATGAATTCAACAGCATGCATGCTCAAGTTAGTATAAACATGAAAGGTCGATAAGACAAATGAGACTGAAAGCATTGATGCCAATAACAAATATATTGTATATACGCGACCGTTATATTGTTAAAACAGTTATATCTTTCTTCTAACCCACCAAAAAAAAAAAAAAAAAAAAATAGACAATTTTCTTTGCAGACTTCGTAATAAATTCGTAAATGATGTATATATTTAAATATAACTATGAATTCTCGTACAATCATACAACGCAAGAATACTATTTTATGAAGAATATATTAAGACTGTCGATTCTGCATTTAAGATATACCTAAATAAATATTAAAATTTTAGTTTGTCCGCGTCATGATATGGTAACATATTGCGTCATTTTCGGTTCGTCGATCAATCCCATTTTTACCTTTGAGAAAGAATCTTGGTCTTGCGAGTGGTGCATAACAAATAATAAATTCGTCGAGAAATCTGGACCACATGAAAAAACGACTAGAAAAGGCCAACAAAGAAATTGTTGAAGAAAAAAAAAAATTTAAAAAGGCAACTTTATTTCTTTGAAATTTGACTGTAGTAGTTTTTTATTTATCTTTTACTGAAAGGTGGGATAGGATTTTTACACAACAATCTGAAAAGGCCTGGAAATTTGTAAAGATAATGCAAGATTTTGTTTCCAGGAAAACTCAAAAAGCACAATAAAGAAAACTTGTAGTATTGAAGACATTTGATCTGTTACTAGTAATTATGACAATATAAAGTACATGAAACTTTCTGTTAAAAATTCACAAGCAATTCACAAAACCTGTAATTCCAATATAGCAAAGAGCAAATACTTACATAATGGTGTTTCGGGCGAAACAATTTTCTCATATCTGATACATTTAGCCCAATAAACTTTCATTTCGCCGAAACCTTAAATTTGAAAACGCTGTGTAGATCGATCAAATTGGGAGAAAAAATAGATTCGCCCGAAACATTATTCCATAGCCATGTCCCTTTTGTTTGCTAAAAGCCATTGACAGTTTTTAATGCAAGTTTTAAAAAGAACCTATATAGATTGATTTTAAATATCTAACCATTATAAGAAAATAATGAAAATAATGAAGGTTTGCAAACAGAACTCAACAGATAAAGTTATCGAGAGTGACACAAGTAGATATCTTGTATCTACAGTATGTTAAATTAAGGGATACTATTTCACTTAATTCCGAACCATATGTTGCAGAAACTACGCCACGTTTACTGGCCAAAAATGTGCAGTATTCAACAAAGCGTTTCCCTTTCCCATAATGAATTTATAAAAATACCAATAGAAAGGGGAAACTGCCGGGAAAAATAAAAAAATAAAAATTGATTTAATACTAAATTTGTTGTATGCTATTAAAATCACCGAGGCATATGTGCTACTGAATTCACTCTTGTGAAGCTTGCAGCACTCAAGGGATGTAAATTACTAGCTTTCCCTTCTTTAAACAGCTTCGGATTGATGAAAATAATGAATTACATGAATTACAACGATTAAAGAATAAATTTGCAAGTCCTTGTGAAAATTATAAGGTTTTCTACCATATAATATAATTCTCAGATAATCAGATAATTACTAATAAATAAAAGTGATTTTGTCGTTATTAATAATCCTTTCCTCTTTGTATCCCAAATATTTGGTAAACTTTATTGAAATTTTTTTTGTGGCACCAAAATCATTTTTTTTTTACTCGCAAACATATGACCAATTGGAAATAGAACCTTTTTGCTATTCAAATGTTTGGGAAAAAAACTGTTGAATCAAAATTAACGAGACCAGCATCAATTACTAATACAGTCTTAGCTGATGATTTACGATGCTTGAAGCAAATATACTATTTTATTATAATTGCAGAAATATTTGCAAGGAGAGTTTATTAGCAACTTCGAAGATTAGCCATATGTAAATGGGTGGTGCCGAGCATGGTTGGCTGTGTCCAATATTCGTGGCTTATTTACGGGTTCTATCTTTTTTTTTTTCCCTTGGTATAATTTTTTTATATATATGATCAAGAATGAAAATTTGAGAAAAAAAAATGGAACCGAATCAAATCCAGGTAATATTAGTTAGATATAACTTGAAATTTAATGAAGAAGGTTTGATATTACAATTAATAAAGGATAGATTACAAAGTATTGGCAAGAGGTTAAAAAGTTTCTATACTTGATTTTTGTAATCCCCCCAACATCATAGATTTCTATTTTTTGAGTTTGTCCCGTCCCTATTTTTCCTCCTAATGGCCCCCAGCTACGCCCCAACTACGCCCCACTAACCTTTTCACTATAATTAAAAAGATTTTGTTTCGGATTTATTAATCAAACTCGATTAAGAATAGTTAAATTACTAAATTACTAAATTTTTTTATATAAAAGATAAAATTGGTTTTATCCATCCAAAACATTATATTTATAAATGTCTATTTATAAAAATGTCATCACCCGGAATATTTGCCTTAAACACTGCCCCCTTTTATGGTGAAACGCACATCCCTATAAAGGTCCTTTAATTTCAATTTTATCATTCAGGTATTTCGTAAATAAAAAAAACTTGTTAAACTCGTAACATCAAAAAAAAAAATTATTATGACGTGATTTGTAATGAAGTATCTTAGTATCTTGTGGTAAATAAATTAATAATATATGATTAAAAGATTAAAATTATGATACAAGAAAAGAAAATTAAGGTGAGGGATGTAAGAAGGTTGACTTTTTTAGGAGCATCATTTGATTCAGCAACTTTGGGCCTATAAGGATCAAGATTATTATCGGAAGAATAACCAAGGGATTCCAAAATACTTCTTGTGGCAGGACCAATAATTTCACTGTGATTCCCATTAATTATAGTGAGATTCTCATAAGTCGCACCTTTGGTGGCGACAAATTTCATCAGGAAATCCGCAGTATTATTATAAGTGCTTGAATCCAAATGACCTATACTTGAACCAACCCTATATTTGATTGAGGTTTCTAATGGGATCGCGTAATTTAAATCCGATAAACCTCTCGGTAAAAATCCTATTCCAAGTGGAGTCGTAGCAGCGATGTAAACTGATTTGGCCAACTCGTATTGGACTGAATTAAGCCATTTATTCAAGAAGGCATCCACGGATGAAAATTTTGTTCCTTTACCAGCAAATTTATTTAATTCCGTTGTTATTGACGTAAGTGGTTTACCTGAAGGTAAGAATACCAAATACCTATCAAATGCCAATTCTTGAAACCCTTCAAATATTATCTTACCATTCACTTCTTCGGTTAATAAGATGGGAGTGAGGAAATCTATTTGAGTATTTGGGTTCATCTCAAATGGATACCTCCAAGAGTTGGCGAACCCTAACCCATGAATCATTTCATGCACGACGACCAAAACAAGATCCGTCTGATTGGGAGATATTTGTGGGTCCCCATCAAACCAAAAGTTTGCCCTCGAGCTAAATCCCGCATTTATATCAAATTCAGAAAATTCGGGTGCTTTCTTTAATTGAAATTGTTTTATCAAAGCCTGAGGGTATAACCTTATCAATCCATCATCATCTTTCATCTCGATTAACCTCGCTGGACCCGCTGCACCTATCGGTCCAATCTCACTCGTTCCGCAGGTTGGACCGCACAAATCTCCAAAGGTTGCATTGATCGTTATAGGAGTATTTAATTTCCACGTTGAACTTATTATTTCCCCCGCTTTATTATAAGAATTTAATACCTTATCACATAAAACCTGATCATTTGATAAACAAGTAAATTTTATATCAAACATGGAAGCTACTTGATTTAGGTTTATTCCGGTCAATGATTTCGGGTTAATGATTTTTGTCTCGCAATTTGCTAATATCTTTGCATCACTTAAAAAATCTGGTAAATCCCAACATCTTGCCGCCGAAACTTGACGAAACGAAAACATCATGCTAACTGCATGTATTATGTTTGTTATTGTTCTCAATTTCATGTTCTGAAACTTGTTAGATGTTTATGATATTTTGGTTCACCAACAGGTATTTTTTCTCCTGGTATTTATATTTTTTTATTTTGTACAACCACAATTTTAATGAGGAATGCCGGATTTGGTCCAATGTTATTTCTAATAGGATCTCCCGTGCGATACCATACAAACCCAATCATATCCGTTTTGGTGGTCACGTGAAAATCATGGACCATGATTTACTTTATACATGAAAAATATACCAAAAAAATAAAAAGAGAGATTAAAAAACACAAAGAATGTGTACAAACGGAAATTAAAAGGAACAAAAGCCTGGTTTTTTTAAGCTATTCGATATCACTACTATTTATATTCTAATAATGCTCCAGTTCTGGTATGCCCGATCATTAAATATATTGAATCGAATTTTATTGTATTGTGGCGATGCATTCAGCCAATGTCTAATTTCAGAAAACAATCTTTATTAGTATCTTAAATTAGAAACTTGTTTGATGTAATCAATTTTCCATTGAATTTATTTTTGGTATCGACACTCTGTTCATCCTACCTATAAATTTTCTTTTTTTAAAATTTTTAAGGAGAAAAAATGAAAATCATCTTTATTTCTATTTATACTTCTAGGGTCAAAATATAATAAAAAAAAAATTTTTTTTTTCGCGCGTTTTCGTTTCCCTCGTTTCACACACTTTTTTAAGATATAGAGGTGCCTGTCCGTTGTTTAAATAAGTGAAATACTCTTGTGTAAATCATATAAAATTACTATTTATATTGTTATTTAAATTTCTAGTAACAATATAATTTGATTTCTCTAACTTATTTTGCCCTTTTATTATCAGTAACACGGCTTTATTTGCAAGCGAGTTACCTCCACTGCTTTTTTTTCATATACAATATTTTATATATTTTCCACGGTTACAACATATCTAAATATATATCGTAGATTATGTCCTTTTAATTATTCATGTATTAAATTTATTACTTGCACACCACTGCTTTTTTTTTTTTTTTTTACTCCTAGCAAAAACCCTTCGTTTATATTTTTTCTCTTACTCTTCCTTTTTTTTCTTTCCTAACCTCTATCCCCGGCCCTTTTTTTATTCATTTATTTTGTAATAATATATGTAATTTATTATTCATTTATTTCATTTGGGCGTAGAGAATAAGAGGGAAAAAAAATTTCACAAGAGGAAAGAGTGTGAATTTTTTTAAAAAAAAGCTATCAAAAACAGAAAAAATACCAAAAAAAAAAAGCACAAAATCTAAAATTTTTTTTTTTAAATAATTACGGACGTTGTTACGATATAGAAACAAATATATATATATATTAAAAAAAATCATAGTAATAATAGTAATAGTAATTAAAATATTGTCCTAATTAATAAGTTGGTTACTTTTTCCCCAACAACAACAAAAAATATTAATATAATAATCATATGGGGAAAACAAAAAAGAATCACGGCGCAGAGCACTTGGGGGGTTCCTCCTCGGTGGATGACCAAGTCGACTTAATACAACTTTTATCAAACACGACGGCTCCACCAAATGAGGACGAAATAGTAAACTTATTACAGGCTCGTTTTAAAGCCGACTTACCTTATACTAGACTTTCTTCTTCTTTAGTCGTAGTTAATCCTAATAAAAATTTGGGTTGTATGAATGATGCCTCTGCAAAAGAGTATGCTGACCAACTTTACAAGGATACTTCCGGTAACAAGTCCGCTTTACAACCTCACATTTACGAGTTGGCCGCTAAAGTTTATTTGCATATGAGGAGATCGGCCGAAGATCAATCCGTGATATTTAGGTAATTTCGTGAGGGTTGCTTGTATGATTGGTGTTACGTAAATGACGTGTGTTCTGACTAACTCCGATCTTTAATTTCTTCCTCCTCCGTTAATTAGTGGTATAACTGGATCAGGCAAGACCGCGACTCAAGGACATTTGTTGCAACAATTATTACTCTTGTCAACTCACACAAAAAAAGAATCTAAAATTGCCAATCAAATACAAAACGCTCAAATCATTCTTGAAGCTTTCGGTAATTCAAAAACCAAACAGAACATTAATGCTTCCCGTTTCGGGAAATACCTTGAATTACAATTTAATGATCGCGGTAGAATCGTTGGTGCAAAGGCCCTCACTTATTGTTTCGATAAGGCCAGGGTAACTGAAATACCTTTGAATGAAAGAACTTATCATGCTTTTTATTATTTATTGGCTGGTTTCACACCTGAAGAAAAATCTCAATTAAACTTAATGGAACCTCAACATTATAATTACTTGGCTCGATCAAAATGTTATAAAATTCCTGATGTTGATGATTCGATTCAAATGGGTGATTTAAGATCTTCGCTAAAGACTCTTGGATTTAAATCAAGGACTGTCATGCAAATATGGCAAATTCTTTCCGCTATTTTATTACTTGGAAACATAGAATTCATTAGTCATGGTAAAGCAAAAGATGAAGCGGCTGATATAAAAAATCAACCCATATTAGATTTGGTCGCTCAATATCTCGGTGTGCCAGCATATAAATTAAAACAAACCTTAACTTATAAAACCAAATACATCGGAAAAGAATTATGTACCGTGTTCTTAAATGCCGAGGCGGCCTCGGAACAACGTGACGCCTTGGCTCGCGCTCTTTATTCTATATTATTCACGTGGATCGTTGAACATATAAATTCAAAATTAATCCAATCAGATGAACCTCCAAATTTTATCGGTTTGTTGGATCAACCTGGTTATCAAAATTTCACAAATAATTCTTTTGAACAATTCTGTTTGAACTTTGCCACTGAAGAGGTGGAAAATTTTGTACTGCAGCAAATATTTGATGATTCCGATGGTTTGAATTATGAGATCACTCAAGACGGGGTCTCCTTACCTAATGTTTCTACCATGGATAATTCCGGATGCGTCGAATTGTTACGTGGTGATCAATCTGATGGTGCAAGAAAAAGTTCGGGTTCTTCAAATCTCATAAGCGGTGGATTGATCTCGATACTAGATGCCGAATGCGCAAAGGTTCAAAGTGGTGAAGAACCTTCTGATGATTCAAAATTGCTTTCCACCTTACAAAGTTCTTTCTCGGGTCATCCGTCCTTTATCAATAATCCTTCCACATCAAAGATCTTTTCAAAATCTGGGGCGTTCGGTGTGAATCATTTCGCCGGTCCAGTAACTTACACGATTGATCAATTTCTTGATAAAAATCTCGACAATTTAAGTCCCGATTTTATAAATTTATTTTATGATACGAATAATACTTTTCTAAGAAAATTATTTAATGGACCCGCCTTGGCAATTGAAAGTCATCCAAAGAATGAGAATACTGTTGTTAAAGCTCAGTTACCTACAAAACCGATGAGATCTCCTTCCATGAAACGAAAGAAGAGCATCGCTGGTGGCTCAAATACGGGAAAGGTGGAAGAAAAGGCCTCGGATAATTCAAAGAAAAAGATTCAAGTTGCCACCGTAGCAACTCAACTTTATTCTACTCTCAACCAATTAATTGATACTTTGAAGGAGACGAGGATGTGGAATGTGTTTCAAATTCGTCCAAACGATGCTAATGAGCCTAACGTGTTTGATGCAAAACGCGTGAAAGCGCAGGTTAGAAGTTTTTTGATTCGTGACATCATTGTAAGGAAACGCGTGGAATATACCGCTCAGTATACCTTTGAAGATTTCTTGACGCGTTACGAGACGATCATTGCTTCCTTTAATGTGGAACCTTCCAGAAACCCTCAACAAAAGGTTGAAACTTTTGCTACCATAAGCGGTTGGGGTGAGAATCAAATGACGATGGGTCGTAAAACGGTTTTGATTTCCGATCCGATATGGAAGGGATTGGAAGATTCGCTTAGAGCTGCGGAGAAGGAGGAACGTGCTAAATCTAAGCTTCGAGATGATGATAGTTTGGTCGGAGGATTTCATGATGGTAGTCGGGCCGGAATCAACACGGCTTCCGTCACGAGTTCCGCGGATCGCCTTTTACCAAGGAGCGGTGCCGCCAATTACTCTAGCAGTGAAACCGGTTATTATGAAGATAGTTATGTAGATAGTGAGGACGAATTTTCAAAAGCTGGAGGTGCTCAATTTGCCGAAGATGATGAGGGTAGCATGTGGGGAAGTGAATGGAAAACTAACGATGGTTATGCCCACACGGGAGGACAGAGCAGGCATGCTGAAGCGAAGAAGGAAGGTGATTTGAAAGAAGATATCGAAGAAATACCAGCCACCAGAACTCGAATTTGGTGGGTTCGTTTCGTTTGGTTATGTACGTGGTGGATCCCTTCCTTCCTTCTTTCTTGGGTTGGTAAAATGAAACGTGAGGATGTACGAATGGCTTGGCGTGAAAAGTTTACCCTTTGTTTTCTCATTTTCCTGCTTTCGTCCTTCATCATCTTTTACATCGTTGCTTTTGGAGATTTGATATGCCCTAACAAGGACAAGGTTTATAAGACCAATGAGATTTCAACACATCAAGGGGATGATGATTTTTGGGTTAGCGTTAGAGGTAAAGTTTATGATCTATCCAAATTCCACAAGACCAATCATGCAAGGGGAGCTGCAGGACGTACCGCAGGATTAGCAGAGATGGAACCTTACGCTGGTAAGGATGTGACTTACTTGATTCCAATTCCTTTGGGAGAACCCGACGTCTGTGGGGATTTAATCAACCCTGCCGATACGCTCGTGAGTCTCGAGTACAATTCAAATGGCACCGATGATCAAGTTCCAGGAGCTTTTATTCACCAATCTGGTCCAAATGCACTGGCGCCCAACCTTAAAAATAACAGGTGGTATTGGGATAATTTCCTTCCAACCATGAATGCTAATAAAGGATATAAAGCGGAAGTTGTTTATTCTAAAAAAGAGATTGAGGCCCAGTCTGAACTTGGACGTAATTGGGGAATTATAAATGATAAAGTCTATGATTTAACGATATATTTCAC